GGAAACGTGCGTGCCATGCCGTGGCGACAGGCTCCATACTGGAACCCACTCTTACCCATGGCGATATACTCGAGCGCGCGCGCGCAGTTCTGCATCGTCAGAAAGCCCCGGTGACGGAAAAGGCCATGCTTCCCTCCCATCTTTCTACAAATACGAAGGATACAGTGCAAGATCTCCATGCCCGTGTGCCAGACCATCTGAGTGGCTACCACGATAGATGTGACAGCAGCCCACCCGCGACGCCAGTCTTTCACGCATCAAGGTTGGGCACCGTACCGGCCTTACGATGGAGGTCCGCGACCACGTCTTCAGTTGATGACGTACGGCATCCACTGCATATGAAAGGACAGTCGCTTACCATTCACAGACCGAAGCTCGTACACACGACAAATCTATGTCCTCTGACGCCGGGTGTATTCAGTGAGAATATATGCGACTTTGCCATAGACGGAGCATACGGTACGAAGACGAAAGGCGGTGCCTTCGCGAATGGCAGTTTTTGGTGTCATGATGTGGCATCTGGTACGCAGAATAGTGGTACGGTATTGGATGCAAGGCTTCTGTACATACGCTATATTGATAATGAGCAGTGTGCTTTCCTCAATGAATCTAGCCATTGCTACTACCTCAATGATGTGCTGCTATTAAATCAGACCCTCTGTTGCCTGTTGGAACATGCACTGTAGAGGGACCGTGAATTGAAAGAGGGCAGTGCTCAAATGCGCCTCTCGTTGAGTCGTTGCAACACTCGCGTCAAAGAAACCTGTTAGAAGAACCGCCGTTTGAATCGGGCTGCGTTCAAACGCGCCTCTCGTTGCAACGCTCGCGGCAAACAAGTCGTTGGAACAGCCGGCGTGGAGTTGAACCGGGCTGCGTTCAAACGCGCCTTGCGTTGCGACTCCACTTGCGTCAAACAAACCGTTAGAACAACCGCCGTTTGAACCGGGCTGCGTTCAAACGTGCCTCTCATTGCAATGCTCGCGTCCAGCAAGCCACACTGTCAGAACGCTGCCGTGAGGTTGAAGCGGGCTGCATTCAAATGGGCCTCTGGTTGCAATCCTGAAACGAACATGATCCCTCACTATTCCAACCTCGCCGCTGACGCACGTCCTTGAGACCCCGCATTAGAACTCCCTCCTTTGGATGAGTCCTCCTGAACCATTAGGAGCCGACCTGGGCGTTCACGAGGCCGACCTGGTCGATGTCTATTGTCGGAATCCTGAGAACACCATTGTGATAAGCAAATTAATGATGTCCGTCATGAAGTGAAAAAGATTACAGATGTAGATATATGATTCTTTGTATATAGCGCACTAGACAGAGATGTCAGGATATCTGTACAGTGCATAACTAGCCCAGCAGACACGACTATAGTGTAAACATGATACAAGACGAGAAGGAGAAGTGCCACACAAGCACGAAGAAAGTGGACGCAAAGAACGGTGCTTGCACCATCCTCTCGCAACCGAAAGGCGGATAGTTTAGCACAGATGACGTCTTGTAGCTCGGAGCCACCACGCGCGAGCGGCATGTAAACGCGAGCCAATGCATTTGCGTCGCTGCGGGAGTAGCCCATGGCACCACACCAGCATGTTAACCTGTGGTCACATTAGTGATGACTTGTCATGTTGAGCGACCCTGGAACGTACCTAAAGTAGCGACCATAGATGTCGTTTGCGGATGAGCCACTCAGGGATGATTTTGTTGGCACCGGTTCGCGGCACGCACGAACGAGCAAAGTACACAGCTGATGATGCGGTGCAAGCCATCACCCACGACTGTAAAGACACTCATAGGTAGCGGGGTAGGATGATGATGTCGGCACAGCGTACCCAACGACCAGACGCGTGACGCGGTTGATGTCAGCTCCTCGTCGGGTGGCCCAACAGTAAGGGACATACTACGTAGACAGAGACATAGCATGGTGCAAGCCTGGCAGTGACAACAGGGCACGTGAGAGAGACGCTGGGCAAGGAGACGAGGCCGGATGAGGAGCGGGAGATGATCAGGGGGAGAAAGAAAGATCGAACTACTACAAGTCACGGCTAACGCATTGACGAGAGGCTCGGCATCAACGAGCCAATCAGCATTTGCCAAAGCGTGTGCGTGGGAGCACAACGGTTTTCTAATCCATCATTCTAGTTGATGACCAGTTATCAAATCGCCGTCTTTCACGGCTGTTATGACCATGACTCACCGGTGATGATCGGGCCTGATATCGGATCAAGGGCCGAGTCCCGAGCAGATCATCTGCTCGGGTTGTACACAAGTGTCATCATGCATCCACTTGTGTCCAACCTCCATTCATCTCACTTCAATAATACTCAGTGTTGAATCTGGTCAACCAGTGCGAGTGCGAAGTGCTTGCACTGAGCTTGACACTGAGAGACGGGCGCAGCGAGGCTTGAGGTGTCAAGCAAATAGGACGGTAGTTGTCCTTGTGGCCAGCTACCCATAGCAGTTGTAGGGGTCCAACATTCCAAACATCTGTGTATGTATACACTTGTCTGTTCCGAACGGCCTCTTATTCCGACAAATTGATTTATTAATTTTGACAGCCCCGGAGGGTCGTTCAACGGCTTCCGAACATTGGCAAAGGATTCGTGCTCGCCGAGCGCAGTCATGGCGAGATTCACAACATAGGGGATCATCCATTCAAATAATTATATACTACATATCTTACTCTATAACAATATACAGTGCGAGTGCGAACAAGGGTACTGAACGTAGGGCAGACGGGGAGGGCAGGATATCGGACAAGGTAGAGCAGACAAGGTAGAGCATGAGTAAACAAAACTAAGGGGCCACCGGTACCCGACGACGCGCGCGAGGGTGGGTGATAGCGTACAAAATTGAAACAAACTGGCGGAAACAGAAACAAGACGCGTGAGATTCTAGTAATTGGTCAGTGGCAGTCATTCTATCGACAAACAAGTGACGCACCGGCTACAGGCCCGCACACAAACCACACTGAAGCCGTGCGGGACGGCGTACCGACTACGGGAGCTCCAGGAGAAGAGCACAAAGCGGGCGCGCTGCACAGCCAAGCCTAGCAGCGCGACCGCGGAGAGGCTGCAGTGGGCAACGAGACCACCGACAGGAGAGAGTGGTGAGGATGATGAGCGCGATGGTGTAGACAACAACAGTGGGGGATGGCAGAGGATGGTCATGGGCGAAGGGGACAATAAACACGAGTCGCAAAGTCGCGCCATCTGCGCATCCGGGATCGTCGGCAAATGCCGATTAGCCCTTCAGTTCCGACCCGATGTGTCAGCGCACTTGCAACTTGCGTTTTCCATCCTCCCCCCATCACTGACCCCTCCCTTGCTCTCATTATTCCCCTCCCTATTCCGTTTGTCTTCCTCAAGACTATGGCCGCCTGAGTGCAGGCCCCTTACTCACACCCGCTCTGGCTTTTGGTGTGGTTGATTGCATGGTAGCCGGGTCCACGCTCTTTGCTCCGGGGCTCCAGGTGCGTTGCAACAAGTTTTCCACGTATAGATGCTAATTCTTTGCACAGGTATTTTACTCATGGATATTGGGTGGCAGCACATGCATTGTCACCTGGATGCATATCGCAACGAGCGCACAAGGTACGTCATCCGCATCTTCGGGTCCCGTCTTGTCCTAATATGACTCGCCCAGGCTATCGTCTTCGTCAGGCTTGCGCCAAGGTCTGTTCTGGACTTGTGATGGCGAATATTAGGTATGACACGCACTCGGAGTGCTCGTTCATGCCGCCTGTCCTCATGCGAGCAACAAGATGTACGTGCAAAAACTACAGCCGCCCGATGAGCCCGTCAATGCTCCATTGACTGCGCACACTCTCGGTACGTGTTTCGTATTCGTCTGATGGTACTAGACTGATGAAATTCATTGTATGGTGGACAGATCTCGTGCGCGTAGTGCCCAGGCCGCGCTTTGCGCTCTCGCCCGTGACGTGGCACTGCGCTGCTGCTGCGTATGCTGTCGCATACGGAGCATTGCTTCGCGACATTTGCCCGTGTTGTCAGCGCTTCGCGCTGCCATTGTTAGCGCGTACAAACCGCTTTTGCGTTAGTTATTGTGATTCATGTCCACCACATGTATGCTACTATGTTAGTAATATAGAGTGTGAAATAAAATGCTATTTTGTTCAGTGGCTGTCGCTGCATGCACGTGAGATTTGGTGTCGATCGCCTTCGGCGATAATGGCCGACTGGAAGGTGCCTTGCCCTGAGGGCTGTTTGGAAAAGCTCCATAACAGTTTGCTATATATTGGCTTTGTGATACAACTTCATGTATGCCCCGTACCCGCCACGCAAGCGGTGGCCACTCCCTAGTCGCTTGGTGGCCCGTGAAGGCACCGGGAGAAATGTTTGTGGTAACGCATAACAGCCATCGCCGAACGGTGATCGGCCCGAACATCTAGATAGGTAATGTGTAACGCTAGATCCCAGCGAACTTTGGGTCTGAAATCTAGAGTACTTGGGATGTGGGACACCCCCTCTGAGATTTGGGATGTCCCACCTGGGACTTGGGACGTGGGATCTCCGGTTTCCTGTGCACCCTCAAATATCCTGACACACTGTGGGCCGTCGTACTCGCCGCTCGCAGCCATATAACAACTATTGCACTAGTAGATCTGCAGCATGATACAAACACGAACACCGTATATAAGCACATGAACAGATATTGTAATCGTGAAAAGCCGTGAACGACGTGAAAGTGGAGTCGATGGTATGAGCCCTTGTCGGAGGAGGTGTGCATGTCGCAGAGAAAGGAGGATGGGCGAATGGCATGATAGACAAGGGCTGTATGGGAAAGGAAGATGACATCGTGTATGTACGTATTTGGGAAACATCGCGACACGACAACCATCGAGTCACAAGTCTCTACAACAGCAGCGAGAGAGATGGGGTGTAGATGTAGATGTAGAGCAAGCACAAAGGGTCGCAATAAGGGGGTAGCCATACAGAATGCATAAGTTCGAGCACACAAGTTCACCCAACCACAACATCCTACAGTCCATCAACACCCCCAACAACCGCCCCCTCCTTCACCTCCTGCGTCGGTGTCCCAACCGGACTCGCAACCCCGCTCGTACTCCCCCCCACACTCGCCGGCGCGCTCCCGCCCACATCCGCGTGCCGCGCGCTCCCGTGCATCGAGCCCGGCACGCTCTTCGAGTGCTGATGATGGTGGTGCTTCTTGTGCTTGTGCTGGCTGCCGTGGCGCGAGGAGCCGTGGTGCGACGAACCGTGTCGGGAGGATTTGTGTCCGCCTGCGGCCTCGACGCGCGCGGCCCAGCGCGCGCCGCGGTCGTCGAGCGGGTCGCGGTCCGAGTCGCCCGAGCCTGAGAGGTGGCGCTCGAGATCTAATCACAACCAGCCCGCATCAACATCCGCACGACAAAGCAAAGATTGAATGAAAGAACGTACGCGGCTCGCCCCCAACCTTACTCTTCACAACCTCCAACACCCCCCTCTCACTCTCTGGCACCTTCTCCCTCTTCGCCCTCTTCTCCAACCGACTCATCGCCTCCTCCGTAAGCGCCTGCCGCAACCTCTTCTCGACCTCCTCCTTCTTCCTCGTCTTCCGCCCGCCCACCCCAATCAATATCCCCGCCGTGATATTGCACGTCAGCGAGCAGCACAGGATGCCCGCCGTCAGTCCTTGAGGACGATGGTGGTAGTTGATGCCCCACGTCGTGCCGCCGAGCGCCATCTGGAACATCGAGTGGCAGTCGAGGAGGACGGTGATGGTGATGAGGAGCGCGAGGGGGAAGGCGCGGTGCGTGGGCGTTTCGTGCGGGCGGTAGAATGTGTGCGATTTGTGGTACTTCAGCTGGTGATGCTCGAGGATCTCTTGCTGACCGGGCGTCAAGACCATCGCGCCCGGCTCGGAGCGCTTGAACTGGGCCTGGGGAAAGATGTCAGTACGGTGACACACGGATAAGATGCAGAGTAGCCCGGACCTCGAGATCGGGATCGAGCACGTCGCGGTTCGGGACGGGCAAGTCGTTCTCATCCGGCAAGTCGGGTAAGTGATGCTGCTTTCGCAGCTTGAGCGTGAGCCGGTGGTACTTGACGATGAACCAAAGGTGGTAGGTATCCACGGCACGGAAGGGCGACATGCCAACTACGCAAACACGTCAGCAAAGCGCAATCATAGCTGAAGATACACTACTTACTGCCGACGACGCAGAAAAGAGCCGTTAAGATTTGGTCACCTACTCAGGCGTCAACAAAAGTGCGTATTTCGGGTGACTGGAGGCTGCTTACAAATCTCGACGAAGTAAGGTTGTCGTCCTCCCACAGAGATCCAGCCGATGAGGAAAAGTACCCATGCCGCACCCCAAAAGGTGATGAGGACGGCGTAAAGCGTGATCAGGAATCCGAGCGCTATGATCAAAGATCAGCGTATAGCTCACTCGACTTAATAAACTCGCAAAGGACTTACGTCGGCTAACAAACTGTCCAAATCCTCTCAACCTTCTCCTAAACCTCTCCCGCCGACTATGCATCAAATGCCGCACATAATCGTCCAACTCGGCCCGTTCCTGCTCGCTCCAATCGTCCCACGCGATGCCCGCAGGAAGCACAGCGTACTCCCCCCTTACAGTCTCCGTAGACCGCATCAGCCTCTCGCGCCTCCTCATCTCCGCGTCCGAGTCCAGTCCAGAGTCCTCCGAGTCCGAGGTGTACTCCGAGTCCGAAGACGAGCCGATAGATGACGCAGACGACGATGACGCCGGCGACCGCGCAGAGTGATGCGAGTGCGGCGCATGCGCGAGCGGATGCGGGATATGCGACCGCCGCTTCTTCTTCCGCCTCCTCTCCTCCTCGCCCACAAGCGCCATAGCAGCCTCTTCCGCCGCGGGCGACTCCGCGATCGTGTCCGGAACGCCCTCGCGACCGCTCCTCACGTCCTTCCCGTCCTGCTCACGGACAGCGTGCTTCTCCGCATCTCCATGTCCATTCACAGCGCCCTCCTTCTCGCTCTTCCTCTTCTTCTTGTGCCGCCTGAGCTTGTCCCTGACGCCCTCCTTCTCCTTGGGCTCCGGCGGCAACCTCATGCGACGTATCGCCTCCGCGCGCGCCTCACATTCCGCGCACGTTTCGCCTGGCGCATGGGCGGAGTTGCCGCCGGGGTTTGCAGGGATGGGCGAGCGGCCGGTGAGGTTGATCAGAGGCATGCGGTTGACCCATCCTCCGAGGTCGGGCACGAAGAGCGAGTTCTGGACATTAGATAGCGTTGATACTGTTGCGACTTCGGGGTCTGGGGAAGATAGGAGTCAGCCATCATTGTCAACGACATGGACACGAAGCACGACGAGGAACGTAGTCGAGTGGCGCAGAAGCCGAAGATGATGATGGCGGCCTCGGGCGGCAGCGGCGGGAATCCAGAATCTCGACAGGGACGAGGCCTCCCGCGCGAAATGATGGGAGGTCCAAGATTAGAATTGGGACCTTACGAGCGCCCCTTTACGGTACGGTGCGGGAACGTCAAGCGGCGCGACAACATCCATCATGCACGTTCAGAAGTATACGTGAAGGGAGACATGGCGTAGCATGACGATGCGCAGGCGGGAGGAGGAGTGGGAGGGACGAGGCTTTGACGGGGATAACGCGCCACGAGCCCGTTTGTGGAGCAGGATGACTGGCGCTCGTACGAGATCCGTATACTTCGTGAATATACGGACCGCACCGTAGCCCATCGAGCGAGCAGACAGTGACGCACACAGAAAGACCGATAACTCCGGAGAAAGAAATAATGCTCACCGATAACATCCAACCAGTCGACGACGTCGTCCGCGTACTGCTCCGCCTGCCGATCCGTATTCGAGTTCTCCGTCGCGTAATCATGACCATTAATCTCCCCCTCGAGATGCTGAGCCTCCAAATCGTCGCTGTCTTGTTGTCTGCGCCGAAAAGGGATCCAAGACCTGCGTCCCCAGCTGCCCGCGCTGCCCGGGGGCTCGCTGAGACCGGTGGTGGCCGCGACCGTGTCAGGGCGCACACCCTCGCCGGTCACACTGGCCGGTATAGGGATCGTATTGTGCGGTTCTGGGTGTACAGCGCCCGGTGGGGCCGGTGCGAGGGTGGGTGCGCCGCGGGGAGTGCGTGCAATCTCGACTGGCGCGCGGCCGGTGGGGTCGCTCGTCGAGCGCTGGCGGGCCGGGTGCGGGAGCCGAGGCGGTGGCTGGGGCGTCCTGTTCTGGTATTGGGGCGCGCCGTGGTTGTGTATGAGCGGGCTCTGGCTTGGTCGTGAGAGTCGATTGACGCGCACTGCCGGCCTGGAGGACATGCGGGGGGTCATGTCTGGCCTGGGCGACGCATCGGTCACGGTGATGCCCGGCGCATCGACGCCGTTGGTAGAGGCAGACGCTTCCGATCCTCTGCGCCCGCGTCTGAACATGTTCGTCGTAGTGGAGGGTGGAGTCAAGCTGCGACTTTGTGTCTTGAATATCTCGACTGCTGCCCGAACCTCGGCCTCCCCTCATGACATCATGATCACTTCGTCATTTCCGCTTGGGCGCCTTTGCGTATCATCCTTCTCCCGCACCACCACCATCACGCATGTTCGCAAATTATCCTTTCTCTTCTCGGCGTCGTCGGGATGCGCTTTGTCGTCGCTTGACCCGCTGTCACAATGCTTACGAGCTCTCGATTCGTTCCGTTTCTTGGTGTCTCGAAGTATCGCCTCCAGTCTGAATCTCCATCCGCGCCATGCAGCTCTCCGCATGGGCGAGGTAAAGCCGTATTTGGCACGACTCTCCTGTGCACCTTGGAGCTCGTTGCCTACGCGCAGTGCGATCTTCTCCCCGTGCGTGCACAAGAGGAGTGTTCGCCACCCGCCGAAGGTCGGCAGCGCGGCGTTACCAGCGGGCAACTCCGAGGATGCCGCGCGGCTGGCTAGTTGTGACCTTGCTTCCGCTCCAGCCGAACCCGCCCGCCGCCATCTAGGACAGACCTTGTGCTCACAACGCGAGCGACTCGTGGATGCAAGGTAAACCTTGTCAGAAAGGATAGACGCTCGCCTTTGGTAGACGAACGGCAGACGGTTGCTTCCAGCTCAGTATGAGGTCCATCCCTCCAGTCCGATCTGTTCCCATTCTTTGTGCGCAGAAGTCATGGATGGCTTCATTCATACGCGCTGTGTAGTGCACTATGCGTATGCGCAAGATGTTGCGATCCGTATCATCACGGCCACCGTTCATTCATATACGGAGTCAAAGACGCAGCAGCAAACTAGCGCACGGCATTGACCAGCTGGCTGTTGTAGTCCCTAGAAACGGACCAGAAGGCGATGCTGAGCGCGTCGCCACCTCTGGTTTACTAATACTTTTGTTTCCCACTACTAGGAGACAGGCCTTGTTCTCATCTTGCTTATCAGGCCAACGACATGCAGCAGTTCTCTTCACCTCCATCGCCCCACACTCTCACTATCATCCCACAAGACGCATTTCCACCACTCAAAAGCCTCGTCCAAACCCATACTCGCTCCCATTAGATATGTCCCCGCCGCCGACGCAGACCACCCCGCCCGCCTGTAACGAGGTCGAGGTCGACCGCTCACCGACCCCAGTACAAGGCGCGCGCGAGCAGCCCGCCGGCACATCGAACCCGCCCAAGTCAAGGCCGCAAATCCACCTGGACCCGACCGTTCCTACCACCTGATTCTAGCCGATTGTCTGTAAGGTTTCACACGTTTTCCGGCCCGATTCTTTTGCAAGGCCTTACAGGT